TATATTAAAAGGTCACCAAACGAAGATTGGGATTAAAAGATGTATATTTAAACACAAATTAATTTATGGGAGGAAAACTTTGGGATGTAGCTTTGGATGTAACGTTTTCCCTTTCGAGAATAATAAGTTTACCATTTTATTTATCGGAATGTTAGGCCTCATTAAACTGTGACTCGTTAGTTTTGTCACTCTGGTCCTCTTGCGGCGTGCCCCAGGTGACCCCGATACGTTTATTCAGTGTTCCAGTAAATGTGAGTTAGAGTAACCGAAACCCTTCCTTTTCAGACCAAAATATCCTCAATATAATCTCTTAAAGCTGAGTAGAACTGAGGTTTAAAGTACCGATATGAAATACTAAGCAATATGGCGGTAACAAAAGCAAAGTGAGTTCGACAAATGCAAACTGTTACTGCATTTGTGTGAAGGAACCACCATGATCATTCTCATTTCTAAGAAGCGGCCCCACCCTTCTATAAGATGTCTCGGTATATAAATACTCTAATCTAGGTTCTCACCTGTATCTTCAAGTTTATCGAAGTATTTTCTATTTTTAGTATTCGACTTCGCAGTTGTAGTTGGACCCCAACAGCAGTTGTAGTTTTGGTCCATCGAATCTTTTGGTGCCAACAAGTTGCCTGTAAACTGCTGGCGGTTTTGGCTGTTCTAGTAAAAAATCCGTTGCATAATATTATAATCGTTTATAATTGTTGGCCCAAGAACGTGATATTTATTTTTATTTAATAGTACTTTAAAATGTCTAAAATCATGGGTCTATCTTGGGTTTTGGCTGGGGCCTGGGTTTTATCCTTTCTGTGAATTACTATACTAACATCACAGCAGGGTTGATTCGGTTGAAGTATGTTGAGAGTAACATTTTCACTAGACTTTTCTGCCATTTCTGGATAAAGGGTCAGACCAAATTGCTTGTCAAACAAAAGCAAGCACCTACCGTGTCTGATGCTATCAATTCGAAACGTGATGCCCTCACAAAGGCCCTTGCTTCTTTTATTTCAAAAAAATGCCCTTCAAGGGGTTAATTACCCCGCTCAGTGTGTTTTACAGTACTAGAAGGGAAAGCAGTGCTGGAAATACTGCAAGCTGATGAAGGGGATATGCTCTTCTTTCTCCACATTCAATCTCACCTATAATATGTTCCACCTATTCGGACTGATGGTGTACACCAACGAAGATCCCAGTCATGATGAATAAAACAGCTGTGGTGGGTTCTATAGTCAGCGTGTTGGGGTTCGATAGGACATGTCCGGAAGCGGCTGAAGGAGCACGCTCTCTGGCGGAGGTGGCATCTGGCAGTGGACTCAGCATCAAGACATTCCATCCCATTGCTTGACCGTCCTCGGACTGGCACATTAAAACGTTGCCGATTTACTAAGTTTCGTCATTTAATATCATGGTATAGGTGTTCCAATGCAGGGACCGTTGGTCGATAAAACAAATAGTAATAATGATACGGAGTACGTGAAATCTCACTGGAAGGAACTGATGGACCCAGTGTTTGAACATGGTTTACGAGCAATGTTTGATATCCCAACACTGCCCTGGCTTCCCTGCAAAAAGATGGACCCCTCTAAAGAAATATTATGATCACTCAAGCTTTTCTTGTGTTTTTCCCTCCATCAATCCATTTCTAATAAGTAAAGTGCTGGAAAACCCCGTGTTGGAAATCCTCTTTCAGATTTAGTAAGAGTATGGGAAGAGCGTGCCGTAGGAAACATCTGGAGTTAGCGTGGGTGCAGTGTCTAACATTGATAGACAAACTTTCTTTCTTCAGGATCAATATCACTTCCAGTGTCATAAAGGCTATGGAGTAAAGATAGACGGGATTACGCAAGGGAGGTTACTGCTTCTTGCTCACAAGTCATGGTTTCGGTAAATGCTCCCTGATTACTCCAAAGGTTCCGGATTCTTTTGATATTAGGGGGTCCAAGTGCTGTTCGCGGTTGTGTCAGGTCGGAGTTCTAGTCTTTATATCGGGTGCTACACTTTTTGGTTCTCGGTATGATAATAAATTAAATGCAGGAAAAAATCGTGAATCAGGGGCATGTGAACAATCTACGGACCATGTGATGGGGGACTGGTACCAGTTTGAGTTTCATTATATTAACAACAAGCAGTAGCCCTGGTGTCGCTTTAGTGGAAACCCAAATCACTGAGCATGGATCATTACTAAAGGTTTATAAACGGTCAACTTAATATGTTAATGATTATGATTTAGGTGAACATCACGCACTCTGTTAAAACAACGCGAACGTATAATCTGTTTTAGAATAGTAAATCATATTAGATGTATATTGTGGAAAAATTAATATTATTCAGTTGTTTTTTAAAGTTTAATTTAATTGTAAGATACCGGAAAACTGTTAAAAGCCAAAACCAGTATCCGACTCATGTCGGACAAGCGACTCTTGTCCGAAAACGCTAATCCGGCTCTCGGGGTCAAGAGTCGCTCTCGGACAGGAAGTCGCCCAATTTGCCAAAAACGAGACGATATTTTTGTTCAAATTGGAAGCTTACCATTTGGGATCGTTTCAAATAAATTTACAAAAGCCAGCTTAGGGAGGGGGGGGGGGGGGGGGGGGGTTGGAAATGAGTACAAAGTGGGATGTGGGCGTTAACCCTAAGTAAGAGAGAGGGGTGTTTTAAATTTGCCGAAATGTGGCCACTAGCTATTTGCGCCAGATGGTTTTGGTTCCGTTCTCTGAAAAAAAGAGTCACAGATCATTATAAAGAGAAACGCCATTTTTGAAAGTGAGGAGAGTTAGGACTCCTTCAACTACATTAAATCGATTCCTTCTGTAACATCCTGAATAAATATAGTTACGAAAACAAAATTTACTAAACATTTTAAAACATTACTGAACACCAAAGTTATATTACTAATGCAAAGATACAACAAGACCAAATAATAATAAATCAAAACAAATATCAACATAATATAACATTTATTATATTATGCTATTTTGTAATGATATCACACATTTGAATTAAAACTCGACTAATTTATTTTCACCTCCATTTCATCTCCATACTTATCCATACTTATGCTTTACACCTGAGCTGGCATGGTGTTATATACAATTATATAAATTCAATGGATATGGGCAAGGATCGACCGCGACTGAAATCCTTCTTTGGATCAGATAAGGACATCCAATCAGCAACGAAGACGACGATTATATTTAACAATTGCAAAGCTTTAAAATTTCATAGCTTTGTTGATCCCTTCCTTTTAAGAATCTCTGTGAATGATAATATTTGTAACTGCTATTGTTTCTACTTGCCATTGTTCAAATTATTGTAGGGAAGACTTGTGGAATTAAGGGACAGCAGTCTTACACAAATAATGCCAACAATACCACCTTTAAATTTTAAGAACAATAGACCTGCACATATTATACCCTCTTCAAGATCCATCAGCACCAGTCAGCGTTTATTGTTGATACTTTGATAATGTTTTCACGCTGTCAATTGTATATTATATCTGATCCCGGTCGATCCTTGGACATGGGTAAAAATGGGGAGGTAGTTTTGTCATACAGTGGCACTAGTTAGTGGACTTTATCGAATCATACTGTGACCTTAACGTGTATTAATTATAATCGCTCTCAAGTGTCATTTGACTTACCTTCTCCTGTTCTGCTACATATCTGACTTGACATAGATTGAAATGTTTACTGAACTTTTAGACATTTCAAATATCCTGAAATCCCAGAGGCACATATTAGGTGCGATGGGTGCGGAATCGCACAATTTACCGTTTTCCGCACATTTTCGCATAATTATTGTTTTTCGCACATTTCCGCACATTTTGTAATTTTCTGCATATTTCCGCATAATAATCTAGCATTTTCCGCGTAATTTCGCATATTCATAATTTTGAAATTTTCGCGTTAAGATTTTCGAGTGTAAAAACCAAAATATGTTAAAAGTCGGGCCCTTTTAGGACCGTGACCCAGGCCCTTTCGGGACCCTGACCCAGGCCCTTTCGGGACCGTGACCCAGGCCCTTTTGGAACTCATGCCTAGGCCACGTGACCTGGTTACCACGTGACCCAGGCCCTTTCGGGACCGTGACCCAGGCCCTTTCGGGACCGTTACCCAGGCCCTTTCGGGACCGTGACCCTGGCCCTATCGGGACCGTGACCCAAGCCCTTTCGGGACCGTGACCCAGGCCCTTTCGGGACCGTGACCCAGGCCGTTATGGAACCCTCGTCGTTACCGTACTTCGATTATAGTGTATCAGTAGTCATTCGTAACTTCACCACATTATCTGATTACTCTATATCACATCACAACGTCATGGACCGTTTCCTAAAGAAACGAACAGCTACAGACAGTGACCCATCATCAAGCTCACCACACAAGAAACAAAAGATACCTGCATCAGCAAAACAAGGGGATATCTCAACAGCATGGCGAGCTCAAGAGTTTGGTTCAATCATGGTCTTAGTACTAAAGAACTACACCCTCAGTAACACATAAACAGACCTATTTATGATAAGAGCGGCGGTTATACATTTAGAATTTCCAAAGTCCTTGAGAAAATGCAAATGAAAACCGCACAATTCCCGCATAAATTTCGAAAAATTGCCGCACATTTGCCGCATAATTGGTATAAATTTACCGCACCTTACCGCACATTTTACCTTTATAGTCGGGTGCGGTACCGCATAATTTCGACTTTTTTACCGCACCTAATATGTGCCTCTGATTAATCCTGTTATTGTTATTAAGATAAGATGATATGTATTAATATTATAATGTTCTGTAATTTTCGTTTATGATTTTGTGATTTGTAACTGCTTTTAAGTTATTCTCTTTCTTCTTGTGTACCATGATATCGTAGTTGTACTCAAAACCTGTCCCCAACATATACAACAACACGTCTCTTCAAAGTTTTGGTCGATCAGTTTTCCGCTTTGTTTTCAAACTCTAGTCTTTAATATTAGACATCGGTTATAACATCATCTTCTTTCCAGATGAACAAATATGACCCTTCAAATTGCTGATTTATATTGTGGTACTGGATGGGTGAATCAAATGGTTTGCTAAATGAATCAGAGGACTTAGAAAATCTTGTAAGTACTGAGGATGAACTTGAGGCTGAGCGGAAGAACATTACTCTTTGGAGAAGTCCTCTGAAAACATTTTACTATTTTGGCTGGCAGACGTTTGATGAACTTTGTAAAGGTTTTAAGTTGTAAGTATTTAGTCTCGTTCCCCCCCCCCCGGCCCTCCCCCCCCCCTCCGGATCTCGTGTTTTTTGTTTTTGTTGATTTTAAGTCCACACATTACACTAGTTACCCTTACTACTATTAGAAGCTACCCAGACTGCATCTTTGCACAGTAGATAATAACCTTTTCTGCTATAAATACATTGAAATTACCCTATTTTTATGATAAGCCCCCCTCACTCCTACAGTGCAAAGCTGCACAAGTTAAATATAGCGGTGACGGCTGGGGTGACTTTAGCAATCTTACTGTTCCTCAACATCCCTGGAGCTCAACAAAAGGTCAGTTGATCCAACATGTGCGATATTGAACAATACTGAGTACTATGATAATACTGAATATATTAAAGCTTTGTAATACGCACAGTCACTACTGCTGGTGTTTTACAAAATTTGTGTGATCTTGGGGGGGGGGGGGGGGGGGGGGGGGGGGGGGGGATATATTGGAGACTATTATCTTATAATATTAGGATGCAGTGAAACTATCGGACGACGGACTACGATGTATGCCAACCCTGACCCCATCGGAAAAATTAAAATATATCGACTCTGTTACATCGCTTTCTGTTAATATAAAACTCCGTAACAAACTGAATTGGAATATTATTTGTGGCCCATACCAGCCTCAACTCCCTAAGTCGTAATCTCTGTCCCGAGACATGTTTTTTTTTTCTTTACCGCTGATGTTGCCCTGGTATGGTTAGACAGATAATAAAATTGACTTTCAAATAAGATTCCCTGAAATGTGGTATTTGGTTACCTATTTTCTAGTCTTCTGCAAACATTAAGGGTTGCAAAACAGCAACAATTGAATTAACAGTGGAATGTTACAGTACGTGGTGTGGTTAAACAAGGAGATCTGGTGGAGCGTCTGGTGGGTTGGGCTGGGGATACTCTCTACTGTAGGACTGGGAACTGGACTACATACCTTCATTCTCTACCTGGTAACTATATTATAGTATTACATACCTTCATTCTCTACCTGGTAACTATAATATAGTATTACATACCTTCACTCTCTACCTGGTAACTATATTATAGTATTACATACCTTCATTCTCTACCTGGTAACTATATTATAGTATTACATACCTTCGTTCTCTACCTGGTAACTATATTATAGGACTACATACCTTCATTCTCCACCTGGTAACTATATTATAGGACTACATACCTTCATTCTCTGATCTATCTGGTAACTATATTATAATACTACATACCTTCATTCTCTACCTGGTAACTATATTATAGTATTACATACCTTCATTCTCTACCTGGTAACTATATTATAGTATTACATACCTTCGTTCTCTACCTGGTAACTATATTATAGGACTACATACCTTCATTCTCCACCTGGTAACTATATTATAGGACTACATACCTTCATTCTCTGATCTATCTGGTAACTATATTATAATACTACATACCTTCATTCTCTACCTGGTAACTATATTATAGGACTACATACCTTCATTCTCCACCCGGTAACTATATTATAATACTACATACCTTCATTCTCTACCTGGTAACTATATTATAGTAGTACATACCTTCATTCTCTACCCGGTAACTATATTATAGGACTACATACCTTCATTCTCTACCCGGTAACTATATTATTACTTCTATTACTTATTGTTTTTTAGTTGTTACACTGTAAAACATATCCCTTATTCATGAGATAAGGAGCAAGTATACAGCCATCACAAGTATTGAGGCCGTATGGTGGTCAGTTACCTGATTGCCCATCATCCCCTCATTCATATTGAGGTATTGATCATGACGTACATGTTACATGCACCCAACACCCATTCACCAAGATTATAGTATTGCCAGGGGGAGGCCGACAAAGGGGGGCCCTCCATTATTAGAGGTCAGATCATATGACGTATAATTAGTGATGTGACGTATAATTAGTGATGTGATCCATCCATGTGATCCATCAGTAGACCCAGAAATTGCCAGGGGTGTAGTTTCATTTTAAAACGTTCACCTTGACAAACCATAACTCTCCACCAATCAAGTCAAATTTCAATTTTAAAATATCAAAAGAAAGTAGAGAATTTCGCCAACAAGAAAGGGGATTCCTGGATGGGTAAGTAAAAACGCGATCTTCACCCTCAAAATCGATTTTTAAAACTTCATACATTTTCCGCCGAAATTATAAGTCTTATATCGCAAAACATCCCCCTACCTCCCTGCATATCAATTACATATTAAGTTGACCGTTATAAACCTGTACTTATGAGTCCTTGCTCAGTGATTTGGGTTTCACTAAGCGACACCAGGGCTACTGCTGTGTTAATATAATGAGAACTCAAACTGGTACCGTCCCCATCCAGGGGTGTAGGAATGATTTTCTTCATGGGGGAGCCAAATTCTAAATATTTTTTGGCGCTTTGCGCTAAAACCTGAATTTCGAGGGTAAGGACAAAAGGAAATTGGAGCATTTGCGGTATCGCGATTTTTCACGTTTGCCGCGACAAGTCGCGATTTTTCAGATCCTGGCCTCACGACAAATCTTGATTTTTTCAGTTCTCCGCGTCAAATTGCGCATTTTCCTTTAAATCTGAGGACCAAATTCGCGTATTTTCCTTCAAATCTGTGGGCCAAATATCACGTTTTCTATAATTAGTATATGAAACCAATCAGTATTACTTCATATCCTCAACCTTCCGAATGTAGGTACGGACTTCAAAAAAACCGAAAAATATATTTTCGGCTCAGAATGATCAGGGTACGTAGCATGAAACATGAACAAAGTAGTTTCCAAGAAAACTTTTACAAATTTTGACTTAGAAAATTTTCGGTCCGAGTCATTCTCGATACGTACTTCTGAAAGCAGACTCTCGCTTCCGAACTCGTATTGCGAAGGGGAGGCCTGCCTTCCGAGATCGCATTACAAAGGGGAACCCTCGAGTCCAAAATCGTATATCGAACTTCGAAAACCGAAAAAAATATTTTTGGCTCATAATGATCAGAGTAGCATGAAACATGAACAAAAGTAGTTTTCAAGAAAACTTTGAAAATATTTGACTTTAAAAAATTTTGACTTTAAAATTTTCGGGGGAAAAAAAAATTGTCCCAAAAATTGTTAGAAGCCTAAATTAAAAAGTTGGCCCTTTTTGGCCCCTTGCCCCCCCCCCCCCCCCCCCGCTTTCTATAACCCTGAGTATTGCTATCTCCTCCGTGTATTGCAACTCTCTCTCTCTCTCCACCAGGGTCCACACATAGCCCAAGTAACCATGGCAGCATGGGAGTGTAAGAGTGTAGAGTTCCCAGAACCTCCTTATCCAGATGTTGTGATATGTCCACCAGAAGGAACCTCTCTCATGCACGTGGATATGTGGGTTATCATGTCCAAAGTTAGATGGGAATCACTCATGTGGGTAAGTCATTTAAGATGAAAATGTTATAATAAGTTGTAATTTCCTTTTTAAATAAGTATTTATAGATTTACTAACCATGCATCCAAAAGGAAGGATCATGACGTTTGCAACAAGAGAGGATGTAATAAAAGAAGGAGACACAGTGATAGTGAGAAGAGAGGGTACTCTTGAACCTCTTGTTGTAAAGCGAGACGCTCAGTACCAACTAACAGCTGGACTATTCAGACACAACGATATCATGGGTAAACCTTTTGGTTGCAAGATGTATTCCCACAACAAGAAGAGCACTATAACCCTGCTAGCACCCAGTCCTGAGCTGTGGACCCTTTCTCTGCCTCACCGGACTCAAATCCTTTACGCTAGTGATATCTCTCTGGTATGTCTAATGTTGGAGTTGTCTCCTGGCAGTGTGGTAGTGGAGAGTGGTACTGGTAGTGGCAGTTTAACTCACGCGCTAGCACGTGCTGTGGGGGAGTCAGGTCACGTGCACTCTCACGAGTTCCACAAGGAGCGGAGTGAGGTGGCTGCTGTGGAGTTTAAATCTCACGGTCTCGACCACATTGTTTCTAGTTACCATAAGAATGTTTGTGAGGACGGTTTTGCGGTGCAGGACGTTGCTGATGCTGTGTTTTTAGATCTGCCCTGTCCGTGGGATGCCATTAAACACACTATCTCTGTGTTTGGTCCTGACGGAGGGAGGATATGCAGCTTCTCACCTTGTATTGAGCAGGTTCAGAAGGCTTGCTCTGCTCTGTCAGAGGAAGGGTTCGAGGAAATTCAGACATTTGAGGGAATAGAACGACAGTACCAGCTGAGTCGGAAGAGAATTTGGGAGCCTTTTGTTGGAAACGAGCGACACAAGAAGTTCCGCTCAGATCAGAGAAGTGGGGACAAAGCTTGTAATGGGTGGTTAAATGCGTATGTGAAGGGCGGACCAAAGAAAGATGGAGTAGGTCACACTGGTTACTTAACTTTTGCTACTCTTCCAGCTAAAGATTTTGTTCAAAATATAGTTTTGGAAAGTAAAGAGGACGTTCAAATGGCCGAGACGGAGAAAAGTGAAAACAGTTAATTTTAATCCTCAAATTTTTATAACTTTCTAACCTGTTTTAATTTTTAATTTATTATTCATCAAATGATAGTGTATTTTAGCTATATTTTATCCACAGTCGGGGAATCATTGTTTTACTGCGTCTCCTATATATTATATCTAGGTTAAACAAGCCAGAAATTCTGAGAAATAACATAATATTTTTAAGCCCAACTTTATGATACCCATCAAATCCCGCATTCACGCTATTACCGAAAATATTTGACACCTGAATATAATATAGACCTGATATGTTTTTCGTGTGATATTGATAACAGCTACATTCCATAACATTGTGTTCTTGAAGTAAAAGAGCGTGTTTCAGGGTATTGGTACAGCAATAGGAGAGTTACCACCCTACTTCATGGCTAGAGCTGGTTAGTTTGATATTTCACTGTTTCCTGCCTTAGGAGTAAAATTATTGTTATAGGGTCCGAGACTTTCTTGATTTTACGAATCTGTATAGCTAGTCAGAAATTTTACTGTTAACAAAGTATTAATTTAAAGCCGTATTTTAAAGCCGTATAATATTGAAGCTGAAATACCAATTGTCTAGTACATTACTATTACTTGTCTCACCGCTTCACGTATCAGCACATTACTCACAGCAAAATAACACAACCACACTTTTCAGCCAGGCTACCTTACAAGACATTTTTATAACGTACGAAATGCGACGGTTTTCCCGAAATTTCGCCATATTTTCGGACCGCCAAAATTTCGGTCGTCGTAATAGAATCCGTCGCATTATTTTTAGCTTATTCCAATAATTGTGGCTTCATCGATTCATTTTGTTCTTGAAAAGTTAGTGATATGATGGTGGGACAAATAAACACAATATTCCATGATGAATTTAATGTCAAGTTATACGTTTTAAATTTACAATAAATTACATTTATGTGCTAACATAAACGTCTTATAGACTAAGTCAAGATAAACAATTTAATACCAAACTCAATAAGTGAAACTGAAAGATTCGAGCCGGACCCCTTAGAGGAAGATGAAGAAATCGATTTATAAGTTTCATTTTGTTTCAACATGATTTTACCGATTTTTAGAAAATTTTGAATTTCCTTTGTGTCAGAAAACAAAATGATGAAAAATACCCTTATTTTCTGTGACGTCCGAAATGTGACGGTTTTTGTTCAATTTCGCCATATTTTCGGACCGCCAAAATTTCGGTCGTCGCAAATTGGTCCGCCACAAAAATGTCTTGTAAGGTATCAGGTAACGAGATGCAAAATAACACAACCACACTTTTCAGCCAGGCTATCAGGTAACGAGATGGACGACAGCTCATATACCGACCTTCAGAGAGTAAAAGACCCTTCTACTCTCAAATGGGGAGATAGATTTAAACGGTGGATACAAAACTTTGTACAAAGTGCCGGCTTCATTGGTATTCTAATCTGCGCTAGCGTAAGTAGTAATGTGACACAATGTTTCGAAATAGTTCTGTTTACATTATGTTATTGTAATATTCGACATTGTGTTGAGACTATATTCTTTGAACAATTGCACCCGCTCTATTGAATTTTAATGCGGCAATGATCAAAGCCATCTCGTAGCTCACAACCATTAAAATAGGGTTACACTAAAAAGAGCAGATATTGTGCAGGTACTCACTGTGTAGGACTTAGTATTTCCCTGGCCAGATTACTTGAGCGGACACATCTACCTTACAAGACATTTTTGTGGCGGACCAATTTGCGACGACCGAAATTTTGGCGGTCCGAAAATATGGCGAAATTGAACAAAAACCGTCACATTTCGGACGTCACAGAAAATAAGGGTATTTTTCATCATTTTGTTTTCTGACACAAAGGAAATTCAAAATTTTCTAAAAATCGGTAAAATCATGTTGAAACAAAATGAAACTTATAAATCGATTTCTTCATCTTCCTCTAAGGGGTCCGGCTCGAATCTTTCAGTTTCACTTATTGAGTTTGGTATTAAATTGTTTATCTTGACTTAGTCTATAAGACGTTTATGTTAGCACATAAATGTAATTTATTGTAAATTTAAAACGTATAACTTGACATTAAATTCATCATGGAATATTGTGTTTATTTGTCCCACCATCATATCACTAACTTTTCAAGAACAAAATGAATCGATGAAGCCACAATTATTGGAATAAGCTAAAAATAATGCGACGGATTCTATTACGACGACCGAAATTTTGGCGGTCCGAAAATATGGCGAAATTTCGGGAAAACCGTCGCATTTCGTACGTTATAAAAATGTCTTGTAAGGTAGTCAGCATTTATATTTGGAATGTAATGTTATCCATTTCAATAGCTGTTTTGTGTAACAGAAGCTGTAACACGTTCAATGTCTGGTCTACTAAAAATGAGGCTGTGTTATAATGATCCGATGATTTATTAAGATGTATGTACAGTGGTTTTAACTATACTACTATGTCAGAGCGGCTGACTGTGAGTGATGTGAGCTTGGGCAAATCTGTATATAATGCGAACAAACGTATTTAACTCATTACTAGACAAAAGTAAAACATATTTTATTGTAAACCACAACAATCTAAGTAACAGCAGAAACTGTACAATTTATTGTTGGTATAAGTAAAAGGTAGTACAGTGCAATAACTTATCAGTCAAGACAAAAAATAAATCCTAGTAAGTACCTATAACCATTAACCAATGACATCAATATTTACCGATAAATTGCTGTATAAAATGTGACTTTATTTACATTATTTATTTACATTATTTATTTATTTATTCATTTACCGTCACATGGAATGGTTTTATGCATAATTTCTAAACGATGTAATAAAGTTACACTCCGGAAAAAGTGGACATTAAATTCAAATCCTCAATTTTCAAA